GAATTATAACTTCTGTTTGGATAACCTCACACGACTCCTAAGGTTTTTAGCTGTTCTCACGGAGACGCTGAAAAAAGTCAAAAGAAGAGCTCTACACCGACGCTGAAGCTATCGTCTGCAAGGTAAAAGTTCTATTTCGACCAAGCGTACCGTTGGCCAAGCTGATTTCAATGGAGCGTGCTGTTCTGGTTAAAACAGACAAATTCCCTCACACATCTCTCTCAGATAAACTTCATCTTTCCATCTTTAACTCTCCTATCTGCTAGAAAATTAATCCAGATGTTTTCATTAATGTCTGTGGTGTAACAACGGAAAACCATGGCCGTATGGTTTCCTGGTTGTAAAAGCTGATTAATTATGTTGTTGTTTTCATATTCTGCCAAATTAATGTAAATGTTTGATGTTAAACTTTGATTCTGTAAAATAAATGACCGCATTCATTTTGATGGGTCAAAGAAAAATGACGTCTCACGTTACATTTCTGTTGAATTCAACGCACGAACATAACACAGTCCAGAAAGATGAGTGAACCCGTTTAATGTATGAATATATCTCAGGATATGTCATACTACAACTTTAACTTTAGACCCTGATAAAGACTACATCAAGTTTATATGCTCTGTTTTGTAAACAGTATAACAAGAAAATTTTAGATTTTTTTTTCCTTTTTAAAAAGTGATATTTACATTTTCAAGCCCATTTAAACCATAGAATCTCTCACTGGTTCAAAATGCCTTCTATATAAATTGGTGTCTGCTGGTTATAGACAAGCAAATGTGATATGATGTAATAATTATAACCACAATCAACAAAAGTTCTGTTTCCTTCAAACAGGTGTGTCTTGTTGATGAGCTAAAGAGCTGGTGTCTGTCTAAACTGGAGAACATGGAGGACCACTGCATCGAAGACCTCAGCACCATGAAGCTGCAGCGATCCTCCTCTGTAGCTGAAGGTCGAAAAATAGCTGCTAAGGCTGAACACACCATGCTGCCTTCTGAACAGGAGTGCAGCCCTGAGGCTACTCAGCTCCACAGCTGTGGGGGTTCCAACATGGCAGACGACAGAATCTCCAACCACTACTTTGTGGTTCATTTGGACAGCTCCCCAGGTACAACACAAACATATGTCCACTGGAGCTAACAGAGAAAACAGTTTTATCAAAGGTAGCATTAAGTCTCCAACAGTGGACTCGTCCACCCTGCTCATCTGTCCAAATCTTCTAGGGCAAATCGAACAAAGTTTTGTTCTACTGGGCCATTTGGCTTTCTATAAAACAAACAAAACTAAATGCATAAATCTTCATTTAATTTTTAGGAAATACATTGAATTTGATTTTATCTTCTATCCATTCCTGTTTAAATTACTTTGTGTTGTGCAGTTTTATTTCAAAAGATATGGCAACAGGAACAGTTCATCTGTGGTGAAATGGAGACATTTATTTCCTTAATCCAAACAAAAACCTTCACTAAATATCATAAAACAAATAATACATGGCCTGTAATCCATATAATTTTTCTACGGAGGATCAGCTGCTGAGTCCCTGTTTCTAGATCTTTTGAAGGTCAGTTACAGTAAAAACAAAAAATCAAAACCAGTACATGGGTCATACCATGTCTACCTTAGATGAAAGAACCCAAACACAACAAGTTGCATTTTACAAATTTATTGAGCAATTGTTTCCTTTAAACAGTGACATTACTGTCATGTTTAAAATTGTTTAAACAAACAAACAAAAAAAGAAAAATAATGTACCAAGCAGAGAACTCAACAAATAAAAATGTTTAAAGGCATTATTATACATTGGACGACGTCCTCAAGAAGTTCAGTCTATGTGGTCGAGGTAACGAGCTCGTTTGGGCGAAGCATGATGTCGTGCATCTTCCCAGACTTCAGAGCATCATTTACAGACTGGATCATTGCAGGTCTGGTGTTCCACCTCGTCTCTCCACAGCTGGACCAGTCCAGAGCCTTGTGTAACCTAAAAGTGAAAGAAGACAGTGCACAAGTCAAAATAGGGTTACCATGACTACAAATTGCAATTTGTTGGCCTTTCTTTTGGAAAAAAATATTTTATCAAAAACAAGAGATTTACAATTGAAATTAAGTCAAGAAAATGTGACATTTGCAATTATAAATTACAGTAGCTCAATTTTTCTTTATTTATTTCACTTATCATATTTTATAATTATTTAAGCAGCCTCACCAGGCAGAGATTGCAAGATTTTATATATCTTACCTGCTCTTTTGAAGTGTGTGACAAGGGTCTTTGTGTCCAAAGCTGTTTAACAGCTTGCTTCCAGAGCTAACAGCCTCCTATGTTGGGTAGAAAAATTAAATTAAATTAAATTAAAGACATATAAAAAGCTTAGTGCTACTTCTTGTGCCATGCTTTCTAAAACAATTATTGAATCAAGTATTTACTTATGTAGGTAAACATAGACGTTTTAAAACATGTTAAAATACACCAGAATGCAGGAAATAGCAGCTACTTTATTCAAAAAGTTATGGGAGAGGACCCACAGACCTCACACCAATATGTCCCCCCTACAATAATTTGAATGCTAATACACACTGTGTGGTTCAAGCCAAGAGCCATTGTCAACACTGGGGGGCAAAGGCCCCTATAAAGGGCTTCTAGAATCGCCCCTGGTGTGAAGAAATGAACTGAGAAAAATCAACTCTTGGCCTAAAATTTAACACAACATAATTGTACACATCATATCTTAAATCTAAAATTTAAACAGTTATTATAATACAAACCGGATTCCAAAAAAGTTGGGACACTAAACAAATTGTGAATAAAAACTGAATGCAATGATGTGGAGGTGCCAACATCTAATATTTTATTCAGAATAGAACACAAATCACAGATCAAAAGTTGAAACAGAGAGAATGTATCATTTTAAGGGAAAAATCTGTTGTTTCCAAATTTCATGGCATCAACAAATTCTAAAAAAGTTGGGACAAGTCCATTTTTACCACTGTGTGGCATCCCCCCTTCTTCTTACAACACTCAACAGACGTCTGGGGACAGAGGAGACCAGTTTCTCAAGTTTAGAAATAGGAATGCTCTCCCATTCATGTCTAATACACGCCTCTAACTGTTCAATCGCCTTGGGCCTTCTTTGTCGCACCTTCCTCTTTATGATGCGCCAAATGTTCTCTATAGGTGAAAGATCTGGACTGCAGGCTGGCCATTTCAGTACCCGGATCCTTCTGCTACGCAGCCATGATGTTGTGATTGCTGCAGAATGTGGTCTGGCATTATCGTGTTGAAAAATGCAGGGTCTTCCCTGAAAGAGATGACGTCTAGATGGGAGCATATGTTGTTCTAGAACCTGAACATAGTTCTCTGCATTAATGGTGCCTTTCCAGACATGCAAGCTGCCCATGCCACAAGCGCTCATGCAACCCCATACCATCAGTGATGCAGGCTTCTGAACGGAGCGTTGATAACAACTTGGGCTATCCTTGTCCTCTCTGGTCCGGATGACATGGTGTCCCAGTGTTCCATAAAGAACTTCAAATCGTGACTCATCTGACCACAGAACAGTCTTCCATTTGCCACACTCCATTTTAAATGACCCCTGGCCCAGTGCAAACGTCTGAGCTTGTGGAGCTTGCTGAGGAATGGCTTCCTCTTTGCACTGTAGAGTTTCAGCTGGCAACGGCGGATGGCACGGTGGATTGTGTTAGCTGACAATGCTTTCTGGAAGTATTCCTGAGCCCATTCTGTTATTTCCTTGACAGTGGCATTCCTGTTTGAGGTGCCCGGAGATCACGAGCATCCAGTAGAGTTTTACGGCCTTGACCCTTACGCACAGCGACTGTTCCAGATTCTCTGAATCTTTTGATGATGTTATGCACGGTTGATGATGATAACTTAAAAGTATTTGCTATTTTACACTGGATAACACCATTCTGGTATTGCTGCACTATCTTTCTGCGCAACAATGGTGGAATTGGTGATCCTCTTACCATCTTGGCTTCTGAGAGACACTGACACTCTGAGAAGCTCTTTTTATACCCAATCATGTTGTCAATTGACCTAATTGCCACTTATTGCTACTTGTCTCAACGTTTTTGGCATTTGTTGACACTGAAATTTTGAATCAACATATTTTTCCTTTAAAATGTTACATTTACTCAGATTAAACTTTTGATCTGTCATCTATGTTATATTACAAATAAAATATTGACATTTGCCATCTCCACATCATTGCATTCAGTTTTTAATTCACAATTTGTTTAGTGTCCCAACTTTTTTGGAATCCGGTTTGTATATATGCAACCAGCCTTTCATATAAAAACTGGGATATTTTTACCGGAGAATGCTTTCACTAACGAGTTTGTTGTTGTACTGGCATGGTTACAGTTGACAGTAACTATTTACACAATCAAGTGATGGTTAGTCACGTTTTTCCTCGATTTCAGTATCCAGCGGGACGTCACAATATAAAAATAGGAATATTTTTACCGGAGAATGCATGCACTTTAACCAGGAAGAGTTTGGGTTTTTTTTTTACATTACAAACAGCAACAGATAATAAAGATTTTAATCTAAAAACCCACATAACAAAGCAGAGCATAATTTTTAAATTAAATGGACATGGTGGAGAAAAATGCACTGTTTGAGTCTGTTCATTTACTGATGGTAAACCAAGTCCGACTCCCCGCAGCTCCTCACTGCAGCTGAGACGTTTAAAGCAGCACAGCACCAACACAACTCTCATGAAGTTCAGGGTTATTTGACACTTTCCTGTCCGTTCTGTGAGTTTAATAGACAGACAGTTATTTCTTACCTTGCGTTGCAAAGTATTTTCAGTTACTCGGTACCGCACCCTCTTGGTGAAAAGCTACGGTTGGAACAGTTGACTCCTGGGAAATGTAGTTCTTTTGACTTGTGTTAAAGTGAAGGCTTACTGAAAGAAAACTACAAAATAGCTGTGCCCATTTTTGTTTTGTTTTGTTTGTTTGTTTCATTTTCATTTTTCGGTTATTGGTCGTTCCCGCTCATGTCTGCTCCCGTTAGCTTTCAGTCCAGTCACGTCCTGGTCACGTGAGTTATAATGAGGTTGACTCCAGTCCCGCCGGAACGTGGCCGGAATCACGTGACCCGCGGTACTCCTGAAAAAATGTCATCCTCTAGTTCATAAAGCCAGTGTCTCACTGAGCTGCAAATGTTGGACACTGTTTCTTTTTTTTTGGCTATTCCCTTTTTCAGGAGCCGCTACAGAGAGCAAACTCACACCAAGACTTGGCAACTGTTTTAACGCCGGATGCCCTTGCTGACTCTGCCACAGATGCCTGAGCTACCACAGCCCTCTGTGTGGAGCAGAGGGCTGCTATCTAAGGCAGGCCAGGGAGATGCTGGATGGAGGTTAAGGGCCTTGCTCAAGGGCCAAGAGTGGGCCAAAATTGGCAAATGTTGAACACTTAGTAATGTGTAATAATTTAGCTACATCTTGTAGCAGTCAAGCATCTAGCGCTCCAGAATTACAAAAACTAAATTGTAAATGGTTGTAGACTCTCGCATCGACTTTGCAACTACTTTGAGAGAAAAATTTTGAAAATTTCTGAAACATGTTCAAAGTTTCAGCAACATGAGTAAGGCCCTGCAACTCAAGCAGGGGAAAAAAAAAAAAAAAAAAAGAGAACATTTCGAGACACTTTGGAGACTCCCTCACAAATGCTGCTCAAACTTTATCTTCAACAATCCCAGTTAGATACAGCTTTAGTTATCCAACATGCCCATTAGTAGTAGTGGAGTTAGTAGGAGAGATCATATCTCCAGTTTTAACTTCTCTCCACTGGCTCCATGTCGAGTCCAGAATAGAATTCAAAATCCTACTTCTAACCTACAAAGCTCTTAACAACCTAGCTCCATCTTATATTCGAGATCTTATTGTTTCATATTTTCCAAACAGAGCACTTCACTCTGACTGCAGGCTTACTGTACTTGCTGCCGTATAAGTCGCATCAGTCAAACAGTGTCTAATAAAGTTGGAAAAAACATAAATACGTCACTTCGCCATATAAGTCACATCTACAGTATTATGCATCACCGCTGACAATCTGGATATATGGGCCAGTGTTGTGCCAAAAATTGGTTGGCTGCCAAATGGCGACCGCGGGAGCGTGCACAGGAGGACTTTAACAAGAATTTAACAAGATTAACACCTAAAAACAATTATTTCTTTGCTCAACATTATAGCAAAGATGTGTCTCCTTTTAATCCAACCATTTTCAGTCAGGTCATCTCGACAGTTTCTTTTTTTGCTGAAATGTTTCACCTTCCATCTGGAAGGCTTCATCAGTCAAGTAACGCAACACAAATCTGATTCTTCCCCCAAACAGCTTACTCCAAAGTGGAACAAACCAGTTATGTTGGTGCTAAGATGGTGTCTTTGGCATGCCCCCTCCTCTTGTGCCGGTCCTTTTCCTCATTGACAGTCATGTCAAACTGGTTCAAAACCAAAAATGTCCATGCTCAATAATCCAGGAATACAATCCAACAATTTTCAGTCAGGTCATCTGGACAGTTTCTTTTTTTGCTGAAACGTTTCACCTTCCATCTGGAAGGCTTCATGAAGGCTTTATTAGCACCAACATAACTGGTTTGTTCCACTTTGGAGTAAGCTGTTTGGGGGAAGAATCAATTTTGTTGTGTGTTTACTTGACTGATGAAGCCTTCCAGATGGAAGGTAAAACGTTTCTGCAAAAAAATAAACTGTCCAGATGATCTGACTGAAAATTGGTGGATTGTATTCCAGGATTATTGAGCATGGACATTTTTGGTTTGGTCTCCGTTTAACTTTTCCTTAATAAATGCACTTTAAAGGTCAAATCAGTTGCATTTCACCTGGGCGACACGTCAAAATGCAACTGATTTGACATTTGCTCCAGGATATCCTGATGCATGCTCAATAATCCAGGTAGAAAAATCCAAAAAAGTTCAATCTGGTCCTCTGGACAATAAATTTAAAAAAAAAAAATAAATAAAAAAAAGCAAAAAAATATAGAAACGTTTCGTCTCTCATCCAAGAGACTTCCTCAGTCTGAGGTGCTGTTTTCAGTTCAGTCTCTTAAATAGCACCTTCTCAGAGTGGATCAACCAGTTTTGCTGCTGACAACCAAAACCAGCTGATCACATGCTCAAGAAGGACCATCAGCCTAACAATGGATCATTAGCACACTGATGGCTGTTTACTATTCACAGAGGGCTGAGTGATACTAGCAATCACAGCATTGTAAGAGGGGGACAGTTGAACCCGGAGGCCTCCACCCCTGTATTTGCTCCAGGAGTTCGAGAGTGAGACGAAGGTGGCTTGGTATGGCAAGCCAAGTGTCTCATTAATAGCCACTTTTACTTATTAATGAGACACTTGGCTTGCCATATTAGTCGAGGGCCCTCTAGTGACTGAAAATGGTAAATGGACTGTACTTATATAGCGCCCTTCTATCTTATCGAGATACTCAAAGCCCTTTACAATACAATATGTGCCTCATTTACCCATTCATGCAGCACTCTACTAGATCTCTACAAAGCTAATTGAACAAATCATTCTAAAGAGAATAATCAGAGCTTTATCACATTCATACACTGATGGGACACACAGAGACAATGAGGGGTTCAGTGTCTTGCCCAAGGACACTTCGGCATGTGACTGCTGTTGGATTCTAACCTTCAACTCTTGCATTGGAGGACGACTGCTCTAACCACTCAGCCACAGCCGCACTACTGAAAAATGGTAGTGTTCAATATTTTCCATGTCAAAATGAATGAAATTGTCAGATGTCAGCCAAAAATGGTTTATAAATATGGGGGGAAAAACATAAATAAGTCGCTTTGCTGTATAAGTCGCAGGCATGCTAATTTATGCAAAAAACTGTGACTTACACAGAGAAAATGACGGTACTCGCGGTCCCTAGTTTCCAAGAGCAGAATGGGAGGAAGATATTTCAGTTATCAGGCTCCGCTCTTGTGGAACCAACTTCCAGTTTCTGTCCATGAGGCTGACACATTGTCCAGTTTTAAGACTGGGCTTAAGACTTTATTTTTTGATAAATCTTATAATTAGAGTTGGCTTGTTATGCTGCTTTAAGCTTCGACTACTAGAGGACAAATTGACCTCATTTACTTAAATTAATTTTTAAAATTGAATAGTTTTCATTTGATGCTATTTCTTTCTTAATGTGATTCTTGACCTGCCATTGTGCATCTGGTCCTACCAATCTCAGCTGGTTGAAGTAGCTGGTTGCTTGTCCTGAACCTGGTTCTGCTAAATGTTTCTTCCTCATGAGGGAGTTTTTCCTTTCCTCTGTCACCTTCATGCTTGCTCAAGATGAGAGTTCTGTGATGGAGTTAAATTCAAAGCAGTCTGCTCCTCAGATAAATAATGTTAAATTATCAAAGTCCATGCTCAATAATCCAGGTATACAATCCAACAATTTTCAGTCAGGTCATCTGGACAGTTTTTTGTTTTTTTTTGTGCTGAAACGTTTCACCTTCCATCCAGAAGGCTTCATCAGCACCAACATAACTGGTTTGTTTCCACTTTGGAGTAAGCTGTTGGGGAAAGAATCAGTTTTGTGTTGTGTGTTTCCTTGACTCACTTTTTGATGGTCTTGTCTCGGACTCGACCTCATTTGGACTCGGTCTTGTCTTGGTCTCAGACATTGCGGACTCTGGATTTTATTTCAAGACCAGTCAAGATCACAGCTGTGGAAATATCACTAAATTGCCAGAATATTGTCCAGTTTCTTTGTTAACATCTTTGTTTTTATTGGATACAAACCGTACTGATTCAAATCCAAGTGATAACGTAACTCATTGCTAAAGACATGTTTTTGTTACCACTATCACGTCCACCATCTTTCACTCGCACGCGGTTCTGTACCAACAGAGCAATACAGACAACAAAACGTAAAGTTGCGATCAGGGGTGAAAGTAAACTGGTACTGTCCAGTACTGCGTACCACTAAAAGATTCTGCACTAGCGCTCAGTACCTTGAAAAGAGGGGAGCGGCTATCTGCTGTAAAGCCTCATTCAGAACCAGTCACGGCTGAACTTTGGGTCAGAATAGATTTACTAGCAATAAGCAGTCTAAAACTCAACTTAATCAGTTAATAAAAAGGTATTTTCCCTCATTTCAAATTGTTTCTGAACTGTTAGTGCTATGTTGGAACCTCAGTTCTCTACTGCGGTGAAGTTAGTTTTACGTTGGACATTGGAGCTCTGTGGCTTCAGTGGTGTGTTCCTCTCATTCGATCCGAAGCAGGCAGTCTGATTTCAGTCAGCTGTGCTCAGTCTGCCCCTCCTCCGAGAAGTAATGGTTCACTTAGGGATCGTCAACAAATTACCAAACCAAACACTCTTCAGAAACAAAAATTAATATCTTTTACATCATTTGACCCACTGACACAAAACTAACGTTCAACTACTCTAATAGACCTGACACAAAAGACATCATCATTTATTTCACATTTTAAAGCATTTTCTAATTGGTTATTGAGCGAAAACCTTGATTTTTGAAAATAAATTATGTAAAATTAGAAAATCAGTCTGTGGGTCACATGACATGAAAATTATTGTGCAAAAATCACTGAATGTCTGATTTCTTTATGTAGCTTTGAAAATTTATAAAAGATGATACATTCATTCAAAAGCAAACTTAAAGTTGCAGTATGTAACTTTTATAAAAAAATGTTTTTATAAGCGTTACATTTGTTTTTTTTACATATTTGTTAAAACTGTCACTTTGTCGTGACAGTATAGAATAAGACCAATAATCTGTGAAAAGTTTGAGCTCCAAGACTTGAGGTCTTGGTCTTGACTTGGTCTTGGACCCCAAAGTCTTGTTCTTGACTTGGTCTTGGGTTAGGCGGTCTTGACTATAACACTGCAGCTGATTTATGAGCTAAACCGTAAGATGGAAGTGATTTGAATCACAGGCCACCTGCGGCTTTGGGACTCGTCAGCATGAAACGACCTTGAAGAGGCTCGTAAGCACGGACCAGTAGAATGCACCCTAATCTGGCCATATAGTCTACCTGAATAAATCAACAATTGTGGCTTGTCTGAATCAGACTCCTCCGGTTGGCCTCGAAACAGGCCGACATATCAATTTCTATTGGGAAATGTGTAAACTAAGGAAAACTTTGTCTATCCACCCC